GTTTGAATCCCAGCACCCACATGGCAACTAACAACTGTCTGTAACTCCAGTCCTAGGGGATCCAACAGCCTCCTCTGACCTCCGCGGGCACTGCACGACATGGGTGCACTTACATACATTCAGGCAATACATGCAAACACATAAAATAAAAATAATGAATAAAAATTTTAAAAAATATATGAATAAATAAATCTTTAAAAAAACATGGATAACCTTGTGGGCAATACATTTAGAAAAATAATCCCATCACAAAGGAGAAATACTGCATAATTTTACTGATATGAGAAATTCAAAACAGACTTATACAAGCAAAGATCACAATAATGGTAGTCAGGGGAGAAGTACAATGAGTTGTTAATAAATTGATATAAAGCTTCAGTTATAAACGATAAGTTCTAGAGATTTTCTGTATGGCATTGTGCTTATAGATAATAACCCATTGAGTTCCCATAAAATTGAGCAGAGAGGGGTAGAAATAAATGGAGAAGGGCTATTGCAAAGAGCATGAGGACAGGGATGTCGATTAGCATCAATGAGTGAGGTGGGGCAGGGGGTGGGCAGGGCTTCTATGCTAAGTTGGAGCTTTCTGATCTGTTTTCACAAACACACATACAATTTTTATTGAATTTTTGCGATTTTCATGCAATATAATTTGATGGTATTTAGATGCCCTCTCCCTACCTCTCTTTATTGCCCCTCCCCACCCAATTTAATGTACTTTCTTATATATGTAATAAGACCTATAAAGTCTAATTTGTGTCCCCAAATGTCCTTCCGTGTGGGCCCATCCCCTGGAGCCTGGGTAACCTACCAAAAGTCCCATGGTTGAAAGAGACTGTCATTGCCCTTCCCAGCAGTTATTCCTTAGGTGGGGTTGGAGCTTCTTACCCACTCCCTCATGTCTAGGCTGGGATTTTTTTTTCTAGTTTGAGCCTGTGCTAGGGAGTCTCAGGGACTCAGCTCCAAATTGCAAGTCTGGAGTGTGAGAGAATCTAAGAGACTGGGCTGAGAGCTGAGATGAGGGGGACTCACTCTGGCAAGACCAGGTGCCTGCCAATCTGGGATAGGATAGGATCACTGTGACCCAGGGAAGTCTGAGAGCTAAGATGGCAGGGCACTAGGAGTCTCAAAGAAGGAACACCAAACCTTGTTTTGTTCTTATGAAATACCACTATCCTTCTTTCTTTCTATTGCGCTAACTTATGGCTTCCGGTTACTCTTCTTTTCTTTCAGTGGTTAATTACAGAACAAATGTGAACCTAGCAGATATTATATTATATGATGTTTTCATATATCTCTTCTGTAATTTTCCTTCTACTGTTAATATCTTGTATTAGTATGGAATATTTGTTATACTGATGTTGGCACATTATAATTAATCAAATCATGAAATAATAGTATGACACTAACTTTGAAACTTAGATTTCCTATTGTATCATGTGAACTAGACAAGAGAAAAGCTTGCAAACAAAAGCCAAATCTGTACTTATTTTATATTTTGCCATAATTTTGTTTGTTTGCTAAGAATGACAAGAACATCTCAATAAAATTGAGAGATGTTACACTAGTTCCTGGGATTGCTTACTTCTACTTAGAAAGGCATATTTGTTAGAATATTTCTTATTTGAAAATTTGTCTTTCAACTATGGTTTTAAGCTTATGTGATGCAGAAATTTTACTTAAGTCTTTAATTATGAGGAATGTCTGGCATATTAGATTTCATATATATGTATAATATATTATATATATAAATAAAATCATTCACCAAATTAAAGAATGATTTGAATTAACACTTGGTAATTCATTCCGACTTCTAGCTTTCAACTATGGTTTTAAGCTTATGTGATGCAGAAATTTTACTTAAGTCTTTAATTATGAGGAATGTCTGGCATATTAGATTTCATATATATGTATAATATATTATATATATAAATAAAATCATTCACCAAATTAAAGAATGATTTGAATTA